CTACTCAGTTCTTCAGGCAGCTGGTGCTCTGCTGCCGCACTTCTTACTAAGTTCTTGTAACTATTCTCTTTTTTCATTTAACAAGGTGAATTTTAAAGTTGTTCTAGCTAAAGTTTATCTTTCATAATATGCATAATATGGCTAAAAGTATCCCTCAGCAGGAATACTTTTTGATGAGGATTCTGCTACTGCTAGCATGTATTTAAAATGAAGAAATCTGGATACCAATGGTAAAAATATCTCCATAAAACTTGTACTTAGGCAACTTGTGTCTTGGTTTTCTTTATTCTCTCTCCTTTCCTACTAAGCCCTTTCAGTCAGTCTTGTGTTTAAACACATTATAAACATTTCTCCCTGCTTTTTATATAAACAGCTGTTTATAAATGTGGCTCATTGCATGGTCAAGGGAAAGGAAATTCAGCATCCTCCCACTTTACAGGCACATGCACACTAATTGGCTTATCTGCCCTAGCCCAAAGGACATCAGGCCCAGGATTTTCTTTGGAAAAATGTCAAACAAAAGGTTGTTACTGTAGCTGGGGAAGAAAACATACGTATTAAGAAGTATCTTGAATGTGATTTCCTCTGCCTGAAAGGGTGACTGGTTTCTTAGTTCCTCTGGGCTATGTGATGTGGTTCTCATGCTCTCCTAACTCATCTCCCAGCAAAGTAAAAGGAGGTTTTTCCCTATCCTTAATCTCTGCTCCACAGTGCTCTTTTCTCTCCTTGCCTTTGTCTTATCTTTTTGCTGTGTGTACATATTTTCCCTTTCTAACTTTTCCACCAAAAACTTGAAAGATGCTTCTTTGTAGACAAGGCAAGCAAAAGCAAGCTGCAACAAAGATATACTGGAGCTTTTGAGAGCAAAGCAGAAGTAATCATGTCTTTGGAAAATGAGACTGAAATGAGACTGGAAGATAAAAAGCTTTGAGTCAGTGGCTAAAAAGAATCCATGCCAGTAAATAACTGGGCAGCATATCACCATCCTTTCTGACTTACCACCTCCTTCAACCAAACTCCTGAAAATATAACGACTGAGTGAGATAGGATGTGTTAAAGAGGAGTGGAGTTGGGAGTGGTGGAAAGGGAAGGAAATTCTGGAAAGGTACGAGTAGCAGGATCATAGTGACAACTTTGGCTTTAGTGCTGGATGTGCTAAACTTTACTGTAAGCAATTTGTATCTATGTTGCAACAGGCAAATATTGGAGTGTCCAATTGGCAAATGCTGGAGTGTCCAACTTGCCTGTGGCTTCTGTGTCAGAGCTAACTCAGGTGGGAATAATAGATTCACACTAGGTAATTCAAATCACCAGCTAGGAGACAAAATGAACCCAAGGACTTGCTGCACCTAGTATTGCTGGGTGGCTTTGCTGCTTATTGCATGCCCAGCTAAACCTTGTCTGGCAATAGAAAAGTTTTAACCCTCAAAGGGTCTTTTTATCTTCTACCTGTGAACCATCCCTAGAACAGTCCCTGACTCCCATACATGATACATGTCTTTGGCCAAAGGTTGATTTAGAAATGTAGCTCCCAGGCAAAAGAAGACTAGTTTGTCTGATGTGCTAAACAGAGACAAGCCATGTAGTGCTGGCTTCTAATTATTTTAAAGAAAAATAGAAAAACCCAGACCGATAAATCTGTGAGCAATGGGACTCCTGGAACCTGTTTTATTCCGACTTTGTGATCTGATTCTGTAGTCTAAATGGCTTAAGCAAGGCTGAGTTATTTGTAATATTTCTTTCCAGTTTGGATTCTTCCTTCTTCAAAGGAAAAAGTCATCATATAAATGGGTTGAAAGTCCAATATGCCTCTTCATCCCAGCCCAGTATCTTTTCCCTCAAGCAAAAGTTAACTTTATGCTTTTGAAACCCTGAAATTAGCCAGCTGATTCAGTTATTTTTACCTATACATACAGGCAGTGTAAGTCTTGTTTACCTATGAGCATGGATGTTGAGAACTTCTTTGGAAAAGAGGCCAAGTCGAAGTAAGCAGTCTTGAACCTTCTTTGTGCATTGGAAGGCAGGATTTACACACTTAAATTAAATATGGGAGTCATTAAAACTATCCTTGATTTCTGAAACATACTGCTGGTCTTAATGAAGATTTGACTGATCTTGCTGAGTCTGCCTGGCCCTGAATAAGAGTTTGTGACTAAATAAAATATTTTTGCAGCCATTACAGAGAAAACTCTAAGGCTGCCCATCTGTCTTTTCTACACCTTCTATTTGTAGGTGTAGGCAAATATGTATTTGTAGGCAAAAGCTTCTTTCTTGAGTGGGTTCAGTGTTAAGCCCTGAGGGTTAATAAGGGTGCTTATCCTGGTTTTCAGTTGTACTGGAGCTCCTGCGTTCTGTCCAGAGTTATGAAATTCTAGCCATCTCCTTTGTGGTGTCCTCTCCAAAGTGCCAGGGAGAAGTAGGCACTGTGGAGGCAGCTCAGAAAGGGCACCAGAACATTATAGAATTATTGAATAGTTAGGGTTGGAAAGGACCTTAATATCATCCTTTCAGAGTTTCTGAAATTTCTGCAAAATGTGGCTTGATCCATGCTGGTTTGAAATAGAAGTAAGGGTCCAGAGCTCCTGAAGTCAGACTCCAGTTTGAACTTCTCCAGTAGTTAGAGGAGCTTGGGTCAGCGTCTCTTGGATAAAGCAGCTTCATAGTTAGGGTCTGAAACTCAGTCATTTTGACCAAGCTTACAGATGGCTGGAACCAGGCATCACTTTGACCCTTTTTTTTCACCGTGAGCAGTTAATGTGTGTATGGAATGGAGGTAGGACACACCTCTAGCTCTGTTTGAAGATTCTGGTTGTTCCTCACTTATTGTGATCTGATTCTCATAATCCCTCTTGCTGGGATAACGTCATATTTTAGCCCTGTGGCAGGGATTCCTCTATGTGAGCTTTCCAGCAGCTGTTCCATATCTTGAGCATAAAGTCACCATTTCCCCTCAGGCCCTACTGCTGTTTCTGGGTAGAGGGGAGTGGAGATGCTGTTCTAGCACACAGTGGGAAAAGGGAGCTGGGGAGGGTTGAAGAGAATTGAGGAAGGGCAGGAGGCATAGGGAGCAGCAGCTGCTGTTGTTTACAAGTGAAAGCACTGCAAGACACTGTCCTTTTCATTCCTTCCCCCGCATACCCAGCCTTCAGTGAGGAGAATGGCAAACAAGCAGAATAAACATATGCTGCTGTATCCCAGGTGCTACAAGGAGTGAAAGCTGTTAAATCCGGAAACAGAATTTGACCTTTTTTTGAAGGTTTCAGACAGATTCTCCAGTCCCATCTGTGTTGTCTGTGGCTGAAAGGAAAGCAAAAGGGATCAATGCTGAATGCTACAGTAGAGGAAGCTTTTAAAATAACAAGTTTGTTAGAGCTCAGAGAATCAGGCAGAAGGTTTGTTTTGCAGTGGAGGATTTAATAGGATACAGAAGGCCCTGTTCTTCCTTCTGACCATCCTTCCGGGAATCTGTTGACTAGTTTAATAGGGCTGGATGGTCTAAACATTTGAAAGCTAAATTTGACATACGACAGCAATTCCCATGCAAGTGCAGCAGCACAAAAATACAAGCAGGCACCAAAACTGTGACATCTTGTGGCTTTGATACAGTCCCTCAGTATATAGGAGAGACGCTTATCAGTGCTTGTTTTCCCAATTACATTTTCCCTGTTCATTGCTATTTTGCATGAAGAATTTGGTGTGACTGGGTTTTCAGCACTTAGTAGTTTTTACATCTGAAAGAAAAATGTTGAAGAACAAGCTTTTTATCCCCAGCACTGTGAAAGTTCAGTGCCAAAACCCATGGTGTATATGGACTTAGGGAGTTGTAATGAGTTGTGATGCAGTGAGACCTAGCACTGTGAGAAAAATGGTTGCACGTTATAAAGTAACCTGAAATATGCAAATGCTTGATCAAGCAGGTTTCATTTTTGGGTGTATTTTGTTTCTGATTTGGTATTCTCATGAAACAATGACTTTATACACATTCTATATTTTATCTGAATTAAATAGGCCAGGAGCTGAAGGAGCTCACGGGCTTAAGGAGCTATATGAGAAGTTTTAATATTAAAACAGATGATACAGTGACTGATGATATAAGCATTTCTTCCTTGATGAGTTTATGCACAGAAGATTTCCCCATCCTCCCTCTTTCCTCTCCTTTCCCAAGTTAGGAAGCGTCTTAGACTAGGTTAAATAAGCTGGGAATATCTAGTCCATCTCTGCTTTCTGGGCTTAATCAACTGGTCATGAGGTCATGAGAAAATGGTCTTGAAAAACAGGCAGCCTCTTGTGGCTGAAGTGTCCACAGCTGTAAACGTTGGTGAGTGGTGGTTGGTATGGGCTTGGTTGGTGCAACTCGGGAAGGATAAAGTAACAACACGCAATGCACCAGTGAAGTATTGTGATTCCAAATGTGCATAATGCCCTGATTTTTAGTAACTGTTGTATCCTACTGTATGCTGCCATACCAGTCTGTGTGGCCTGATCACCTTTCTAGCTCTGTAAAAGGGATACAGCTACTGATGTTTGAATCTAGCTACAGCTGTGTGTGATTAACTGTAGGATTTTAAACAAGCAAGATCACACACAGACAGACATGATGTTTCACCAAGTCACCCAGAATGAATATAGGGTACATACATTTTAACTGTGGAATTTCTTACGTTGGGTTGGTTGAAGTCATTGCAATCTTCAAGTATTTTATCATGTGTATAAGTAAAAGGGTGGGAGGGCAGACATGCAACAGCATGCAGCTTCCACTGTGCCTGGGGATGGTGTTCTCATAATACCAGAGGAAAGTTCAGGGAAATATTTGCACTCAGTAATTACAGTCTGGCTTTCTCTGCAGGGTAATTTCATTGTTGCAGTTGCCTTCATCTATCCAGGGAGTGTAGTGATAAAACTATTCTCCCTGCACTTTTGCTGTATTGTATTGTAGCTTTTCTCCATACAAGCAGCAAAGAAGCAAGCAACTCTGATCAATAATCTTTCTGTTCCCACAGGCAGAGATGAAGAGCTTGTTCCTTCTGCTCATGCTAACAATGATGCCACCTTCCGCATTTTCAGTAAGTAGAAGCTCTTCTGGTCACTGTTACAAAAATTAAAGATACTTGTGTTAACGGTTGTCAACATCTGTAACTCAAGCATTTTGTAGAAAGTATTCCTGAAAGAGCTAATATGTTCAAGTCATCAGGCCTACTGCAGTATGCTATGAAAAGTCTAACGTGGCAATTAAAATACTGGCAGTGCCTTTGGCTCAGGGGGTGTTATCTGCAAAGCTGCGGAGAGCTATCACTTGAAGTAAGAAGAATGAATCTTTGGTTATCTGATTTTCTCTTTTCTTTGGTCATAGTGGTGTAAGTCGTGGTTTAGCTTTACTGGGGGAGGTAACCTTTATGTAAGCTAATTTGATACTGTCTGAAAAAGAACACAGCTATTAGGAACTGGGATTCCTCTTCCTTTCTGAGAGAGAAGTCGGATCTTTCTCAGTGCAGCTTGAGAACAGTTTTTCTGAGTGTAACTTCAATTATATTAATGAGTTGGACATCTGAGGCAAAGGTGACCTGCTGAGCGGAAGTGTTAGCAAAAGAAGATGCAATATGTGTGTTAGGTGTAAAGGAACAGAAAGGGGAGGAAAAAAGAGGTAATTATCACCTGGAGTAAGTGTTTTGTGGAAGTAGTGAGGAATTATAAATATGCCATTAAAATTAATGAGTCCAAAACTTTTAATCTCTAGTATGATTATGAATTTCTGTACCCAGATTCAGCATTTGCAAATGCTTTTTAGGCCTTCTTTGAAAAGCAGGGATGAGATGCCAGAAATCAAGCAGAGTTTGTTAGTTGTCACAGGCATCCTATGTTACAGATGCAAATATGCTTAAATGAGATCTTGCTGTCTCACACCTAATAGAAGGTGGTGCTGTATGCCAAAAGAACCAGAAATGGAGCACACTATAGTCAGTCCACCTGTTCACCTGCCTGTTTCCAACCTGGTGATGTTTTGGAAGGGAAATGACTGAAACACCCTGCAGCTGTGAAGGCTGACATTCCTCTCTAGCATTAGACTCTCACTTGCATGCAGTCAATAGCTTCTCTTGAAGCCATGCTGAATGGAAGGAGAAGGTTTTGCTTGGCCACCACTTAATTTCTGTTTCCCTGATAGATATGCTCAATCTGTCAAGCCATGAGGAAGCAGGAAGATCGAGCAGCACTGAGACATTCTGCTGTGGTAATTCTCTTCTGTGAGGGAATAGAGTAATGGTTCTGGTTTCACATGGGCCATTCCTTACCAGATGCTAATGCAAATGGGCTGAACTATAACAAGAGACGGTTGGGCTGTGAGAGCTGGAGCTGGCAGGACTGACTGTAGTGATGGCATGAAAGTCTGTGCTAGGTCAGGCTATGCACCAGAAGAGCAGTGGAACTGCCTGAACTCCCTAAGGTGGGACACTTCTGAAAAGACAATGCCTGCATGTCTCTGTTTCACTGCTGTAGAGGGGGAGTGGTAGCCCTGCTGCTATACATGCAAATACTGTACTTACGTGGTGTGTGAAAGGAAGAAAAGGAGAGACTAAAAGCTGAGGCAGGGAATACTGCATGGTGGGAAAATAAGTTGGAGAATTGCTTGATGGTTTACACCGTTCTCCGTTCCTTTATGGCTTTACTGAGAGGGCAGGCTTATTGAAAAATCACTTTAATCCATGTCGCACAGCACTGAACAGGTCCCTTCCCTGTGCTGTTCTTTTGTAATTCCTGGTGGCAGAGGTATAAGCGATTGTCAGATGGCATGCTGCGTGTCCCCCCACTGAATCAGAAACACTTCCTTTAATTGTATAGTAGCATATCTCTGAGAAATTGAGGCTCAGTCACTTTAACTGTGCTAAAGTTACAGAGCAGCCTTGCAGCTGAGGCAGCAGCAATTGTTTTGATTTTGGTATCAAATGAGCTGCCAGTTTAGAAGCACATGGACAGAAAGTTGGGTCACCTCCAGTAATGAATAGTGTACACCCCAGGAAGAAGAGAGTGGTGGTAAAACTAAAAACAGTGGAAAAGGCACTGTTTATTCCAGAATCATAGAATCATAAAATAATGAGGGTTGGAAAGGACCTTAAGATCATCAAGTTCCAACCCCCCTGCCATGGGCAGGGACACCTTGCACTAAACCATATCACCCAAGGCCTCAGCCAACCTGGCTGAGCTGTTTACCTCTTAGATCCATCCTGTGCACCAGCACAGACAGTGATTGCTACCTGGACAAATTCTGTCCCAGAAAAAAGAAAACATGAACTTGTAAACACAGAGACTGACAGTGCTAATGGGAGTACAGCTATAAACCTGTGAACTGCAGGCTTACACAAGGATGGAGAAGATGGGTCTTCAGGGATTCATGTCTGTTTGTAATTAAAGGTTGTAGATTGATGCCTACTGTTTTTCATCACTTTTACTTTTGGAGTGGAGTAACTGAACTTGTTTTTACTTTATTGATTGTTAGGCTAGGGAAAGCAGCAATCAGAATAAGGGCAGAAATGTTGGGGCTGAGACTTTAAGAGCAGCTGTGGTTATTACCCACATCTTCTCTCTGCTCGCAGTCTGAGTGACTGGTTTATCTGCCAGACATTGCAGGCACCATTAAGGAGCAAGAGAGGGATTCCTGCTTGTCAAAGCCATTGGCTGCTGAGAGCTTGCTGCCCAGTGCTCCACCCCTGGTGAGACACACTACACTCCTTTCCTGCTAGAACATGGAGAGGGCCTTACCATACAGCACCTGCAGTGTCTGTCCCTTTTCACCAGGCTTTGAAGGAATTGGAAAAGAAGATTGCTCATTACTTGTAGCTCCTTTACTGTTTGTGCTGTCACAGTACTAGAAGCTACAGCCTGATGGTTAGAAGGAGTTGTGTTTAGGGGCTATGCAAACAGAAAACAAAGATGTCTCTCCATCTTTTATATGAGACAGAAGAGCCTTGTGCAACTTCACGCCATCCTGTCATTGCTTCTAGGAAGACTATGAACAGTGGCAATAATGGAAAATGTCTGGTTGAAGTGTTTTTCCTGTCGATTAGTGCTGCTGCTGATGGAACAGTGTTTCTAGTGATTAGAGAAAATGAATTCTAAAAGTTTTCCACATGAATAATTCTTCTATTATTGTGCATGTGTTTGGCATGATTGTGTGTATGTGTTGTACACTTTGGGGTTGCTTTATGTTTAGTAAACATGACATCAGATTTCTCTCTCCCTCAATTTCTATTTTACAAGTGTGATTTCATGTCAGCAAATTTTTGCACCTGGAATTGCTTCCTTCCAGATTGAAAATGTCTTATTTGCCTGTATCATGAGAATATTTCAAGGAAAAGCTGCTGTGCAGGGGAAGAGTTTTATGTAATCTTTTATTACCTGTAAGCATTAGCTAACAGTTAGATCATGTCCAGTACTTATATTTGCACCTAGATTGTACTTCAGGTGTGCTTACAGTAAGGGCTGGTCTGAGGCTTGGCTGAAAATCATACTCAAATACATTTAATCTGGGCAATATTCCTTTCTATGGGTCTGCATTTCTAGGTAAAAATGCTGGGTTTAATTTCTTCTAAAGAAATGAACATTGTTATTGTTTAAACACTGTTAATCTATTGATTACACTTCTAAACCTCTTAACTAGATCTGACAGAAAGGGTGGAAGGTGCAGAAAGACCTATGTTAAGGTCATACAGAAACTGAAAATTACTGTGAGGAGGGAGAAAGAGGAGGAGATTTTATTAATGTTCCTATTGAAGGTAGAAGAAGTGCACAAGAATGATTGTACTGGGTAATAATATACTGTACAGTTCATTTTGCCCTCTGTCCTATCTCTGGCTATGTCACAAACATGTCTAGAAAAAGCTATAAGAGATTTAGTAGGTAAGTACAGTTTTCCCCAGTATGCTTCCAGTCTCCAGTCATTTGTAGTTTATGAACCCTTTGAGGGGGAGACATCTCTGTTTCTCTTCCCTGAATTTGGTTAGTGTCTCAAAGCCATGTAGACTTCTATCATAACAGGATTTCTATCATAAGACCAAGATCCTGCACTTGAGTTATAAAGACCAGCTCATATGTAATAATTTTGTGTTTTCTCCTGTTCATCGCTTAAGTTACCTACATAAAATCGTAACTGTCATTGTAGTGCCAAGTCACACTATATTGTCCCTCAATAGTTCTTGTCTCTGATTCTCTGTTGTCCTTTATTACTTTGAATTACCCTTATCAGTTGCCTTTGTTACTTCTGTGGTTTTGGCATAACTTTTAAGTGTGTTGAGCAGTTAAGGTTCCTTACAGAATTCTGCTGTTAAACATCAGTTCTTGCAGTGGATGGAGATTTCACTCCTGCCTTTGTCTTTGGGCCACCTGCTCATCAGCCATGCAAGCGCTTTTATTCTAGCTGCTCAGCTTCCTTCAAATCTTTAGGTGAAGGAATTTGTTGGAAGCTTTTTGACAGTCTGAGTCTGACGTGTTTGTGAATCTTTCAAAGAACTGTAACAGTCTTCGAAGGATTTCCCTTCAAAAAAGCCTTGTTGACTTTTTCCCAAATAGATTGTGTTTATGCAGGTGCCAGCTAATTCTGTTCTTAATTATAATTGCTATTAATTTATCAGTAGACATCAATTTTACAATATGCGGGTATACGTTCCTTGGTTTCCTCTGGGATCCTTTTGCAAACTGGTGTCAGATTTTCCACTTTCCAGTAATCAAATGCCAAAGTGCTTTTAGCTGAGTGTGTTGTCTGCCAGTATGAAACAGTTTATCCATTTCACCCTCCAGTTCCTGTTAGGCCCCTTGGATAAACAACTTCTGATGACTTCATACTGTGTGTTTTGTCCACTTTTCCAAATAAGTTTGGGGTCATAAAGTTTTCTCACAATCCTCCTCTTTGTGGAGTTTCTGAATGTCCCCAGTTCCTTCCACAAGGATTCCAAGAATTAATTTGACTTCTCTGCAATGGCTGTACCTTTTAGACAGCTTTTTTTATACCCTAGCCAGCTTCAGGCCACCCAGATTTTCTGGAAGGCTTTCCATTTCTAAAGAGTAGCTATTATCT